TATTATTCCCTGCTCTGTCTGCCTGCCTCCTTGCCCCAGGCTCCAGATCCTCGTCAAAGTGGGGCAGAGAAAACAGAATGGAAGCATTTTCTTGCCTTGTTCAACACCCAGGTCTCTCTTATTTATTCCACACTCTCTCTCTATTCGAGTCCTCTCATTATTTCTGAGCTGTACAGCTTGCTGCTTCCCTGGCTTGGTTCTCCCACCCCTGTCTGCAAAGTGTCAATCAAGCCATCAGATGAGCAGCTCAGCCTCACATCCTCAGCGTCTCTGCCCCAGGACACGAGCCAGCGACTGCTGACATATACAAGCAGCAAGGTGTAGGGCTACTAGCTCTCCCTTTAATAGTCTTCCGATCCAGAATGGGTGTTAAAATGAAATTTGAGGGGATCGCTTCTCTCTGCCTGCCCCTGTCAGGGCATCCGCAAGGACCAGCAACCCTGAGAGAAGGGGAAGCCTTCAGAAGTCGATTTGCTTTTCATTTCAAGGTTGGGCTGTGGCCAGTGGCTGCTTTCGGAGGAGCTGTTTGAAATTCTTAACAAGAAGCAGAATGCTTGAGTCCAGGAATCCAGGGCACGCTTGTGAAGTAGGGACGGGGGAAATGGAATTGTCATTTTATCTCTGAAGGGATATTATATTAAATGGGAGTGGGGGAATACAGAGTGGCTTTGCAGCTTCCCTGGAGGATGGAACAATAAGAAATGAGGGGGCAGCAGGAAGAACTGAGATTAGAACAAAGAGCTAACTTCCCAGGGCCTGGAACCAGTGACCAGGGAGATTTGAAGCATCTGCTTCCCCAGGGGAATTTCTCCTTCTTTTACAAATTGTGAATGGAAGCATCGTTTTTATAGAATTGGGAAACTAATGAGCATTAAGCTCAATTCCCTCACTGAATTCTCCTTAGATCTTTGGTCACACAACATACAGAGCACATGGCTATGATCAGTGTGTCTATTTGTAGTCTATGTCTTTTTTTTGTGGGGGGAGCAGTTCTGGGGCTTGAACTCAGGGCCTGGGTGCTGTCTATGAGTTTCTGCTCCTCAAGGGTAGCATTCTACCTCTTGAACTACAGCTCCACTTGTGGCCTTTTCTGAGTACTTTATTGTAGATATAAGTCTCATGGACTTTCTTGCCTAGGCTCGCTTTCAACTACAGTCCTCAGATCTTAGCCTCTTGAGTAGCTAGGATTGCAGGCATGAGCCACAGGGACTGTTCTGTCATTATTACTATTATTATTATTGTTATTTTGTCAATCATGGGTCTTGAACTCTAGGCCTGGACACTGTCCCTGAGATCTTCAGCTCAAGGCTAGCACACTACCACTTGAGCCACAGTGCCACTTCCAGTTTTCTGGTTGTTAATTGGAGGTAAGAGCCTCATGGACTTTCCTGCCTGGACTGGCTTTGAACTTCGATCCTCAGATCTCAAACTCCTGAGAGCTAGGAAGCGTGAGCCACCAGCATCCCTCTCTCAGTATTATTTTTTATATGCATTTCTACAAGGCGGAGTCTTTAGGCTTGTCATTTCGAATAATCATAAGGTATTAATCCATTGTGTCAATATGCCAGAGTTTGCTCAGCTATCCATTGTTGGGTTGTTTCCAGAGGTGTTAAAAATATATATGTATATATATACATATATATATGCACAGATATGTGTGTCATACAAATGCTTTTTTCTCTCTTTGGAGGATAGCTTCTCCAATAGAATTTCTAGATCAGAATATTTGAATCATTGTCGAATGCTGTCCTGAATCTTCCACCGAATCCAAGGCATTGTATCTCCAACCTCACAGCATGGGCAGCAGAAGATTGTGTCTTTTTTTTTTTTTTTTTTTTGCTTATTTAATTGACATATAATAGTACCTTACAGTTATTTAATTCCCATTTCTTTCATTGCTAGTGAGACTGGGCATGCTTCCATGTAGGGATTTATTGTCTGCTTTTCCTTGTGTGTAAACTGTTCATCTCCTCTGACATCTTATCAAGAGGAATCTGGGGGTTGATCTCATATATTTCTACCAAGGCTTTACATTCTTAGTGAAGTATCTTTTTTCTTGGGTACATCTGCTACATTTTACTCTAAGGGAACTGGTAGTCTGAGGCAGATATCTAAGGCAGACACTATCCTGTCTCATGTGGAGTGGGGGTGACATAAAGCTGAGATAACCTTTAAATTTTAGAATGTTGGGGGTTTTTTTTCCAGGAGAAAAAAAAAAGACAGTCAGATGGCACTTCCTTTCTGGGCTCCTGTTTTAGTAGAAAAGGAAAAGCTGGAGAATCTTACTCCTGTAGGAAATGTTTCTGCCTTCTTTTCCATTCCTCCCTAGTTTTTCCTGATCTACTAAAACAAATTCCTGCTAAAACTTATAAAAAAAAAAAGTAAAAGAAGAGTGTGTCAGGTGCTGGTGGCTTATGTCTGTAACCCTAGTACTCAGGAGGCTGAGCTCTAAGGATCTCAGTTCAAAGCCAGTGAGGGCAGGAAAGTCTGTGAGACTCTTATCTCCAATAAACTACTAAGAAAAACCTGGAAGTGGCACTGTGGCTCAAGTGGTAAAGCACTAGCTTTGAGCACAAAGAGACTCAGGCTCTGAGTTCAAGCCCCAAGAACAGCAAAAAAAAATAAAATAAAATAACAAACAAAAGGAGGAGAAGAGAGGAAGGGAGGGAGGAGAGAAGGAAGGAGGAAGGAAGGAAAGAAGGAAGAAAGGCTTTGGTCAAGAGGACAGCTAATGCTAAAGCCACTCTAGGAGACTATGTAAGCAAGCATTCTAGGGGTCTCAGTGGGCTACTGTGCTAGGGTTGGGCAGCTCTCTGTAATCATATGGGCTTTCTGGATGACTATTTTCGCCTACTTACCATATGGCCATGAGGAAAATAGCAAAATATTGAAATCAGAATCATCACTACAAGCTGTGACTAGTATTTAGTATAGCATGGTGGTTAAAGGAGTGGGTTCTGGAACTGAGTTCCTATCTTAGCACCTAGCCACACCAGATGTATGGCTTTGGGCATATTACAACCTCTCTAGTCCTTGCTGTCTTTAATGGTATTTTAATTATGGTGTAGAAAAATACCTCTCTCAAAACTTAGTGGTTGAAAACATTTTATTCTAACTTTTTTTTTTCTTTACTGTACTAGGGTTTGAATTGAGATTCTGTGCCTGCTAGACAGGTACTCTATCACTTGTACCTCATTATTTTTATGGGTATGAAATTTCAATGGGGCTTGAAGGAATAATTATTATGTTTTTATTTTTTTTGTCAATTGTGGGGCTTTTACTCTGGGCCTGGATGCTGTCACTGAGCTCTTCAGCTCAAGGCGATCACTCTACCACTTGAGCCACAGTGCCACTTTTGGTTTTCTGGTAGTTAATTGGAGATGAGTCTCACAGACTTTCCTACCCAGGCTGGCTTTGAATGTGATCTTCAGATCTCAGCCTCATGAGTAGCAAGGATTATAGGCGTGAGCCACTGGTGCCCAGCTTGGAGGAATAATTCTTTTAGGATACTTGGCATTGTCTGGGTTACTCAGTGGTATTTAGTGGCCAGGTGATCCAAAACAAAGAGAGGAAGCTGCCAGTCTCTGAAGGTCTAGCCCAGAAAGAATCATGATATGGCTTTCGCTGTGTTCTCTTGGTTAAGCAGTCCCACTGCCTGAGATGGGAGGAGTGACAAAGAACTTGGAACCATCCTTAATCTGCCAAAAGAGGGGATAAAAATACTCATAGGACTGTGAGGATTCAATGAGATAATGTGTTCAGAGGCAGATTTACTGTGAAGCCAATAAAACTTCAGCTATGGGGCTCCCTAATTGAATAGTCTCTTTGAAGTCAGAGCACCTAATTTTGTTTGCAGCCTCCTCCTCCTCCTCCCCTCCTTCTTTTTCTTCCTCCTTCTCTTTTTCTTTCCTGCCAGGAGTTGATCCCAGAAGCTCAAGCATGAGCTACACCCCAAGCCTCTTCTTCCTTTTTCTTAAAGAGGACCCTAAATTATATAAGAATCAGGACCTATAAATCTTGGCGCGGAGCCCAGCGCTGGTGGCTTACATCTGTAATCCTAGCCTAGTCAAGAGTCTGAGGATCATAGTTCAAAGTGTGTACAGGTAGGAAAGTCCATGAGAATCTTATCTCCAATAAACTACTCAAAAACAGCCTGAAGTGGAGCTGTTGTTGCTCAAGTGGTAGAATGCTGGCATTGAGCAAAAAAGTTCAAGGACAGTGCCAAGGCCCTGAGACCTGTACAGTGTGCGTGTGTGCATGTGTGCACATGTACACACACACACACACTCACTCCTGGCTCTGGCCCTGATGCCTGCAAGAGTACTTCTTTGTACACCGCCTGGCACAGCGGCATTCTCCGTACAGGGTCTCCCCTGGTGGAGAGTCTGGTGCCTGGTTCCCTCTGTGCCCAAAGAAGGGGCTCTTTCTCTCACTCTCCTTTCTATTTATTCTCCTTTTTTTTTGCAACACGAAGTAAAACATGCTGAGAATAATTTCATAATCACAAATCTGCCCTCCCAATTGGCCCTTGTCTCTACCCCCTGACCTCACCTCCCCTAGGGAGGTGGGCCTTACCCTGGGCATCCTGCCAGGTTCTTAGCCAGCCCTGTAGAATCTCTAAAGGAAATCAGGCTGAAGAGAGAAAAGCCGGCAGGGGGAGGCAGCATTCCTGGTGCCCAGCTTGGTCTAGGAGGCATTGAAATTCTAAGGCCGAAGTCCTGAGACAAAGATCATAATGAGACAGGAAGGTGGCATAGGAAGAAGCCCATTTGCATGACAATAATTGAGCCAGGAATAGAAAGCTAGAGGGATGCAAGGGTGAGGGCTGGCAGCTGAGCTGGGCTAAACCTTACAAATCAGTCTACCCAGCTCTGCTCTGCAGGGGAGGCAGAGGCAAAGCCCTGCGCCAGGCTTTGGGGGAGGAACAGAGGGAGGGAAAGAGGAGGGCACTGCCCCAGGGCATTGTGGGAACACTAGCCAGGATGAACTTTGCCTTCCTTCTCCTCCCGTAGCCCAGAGCTGCTTTTATTTGTCTTCTCCTTTGTGGACTCTGTAGTTAGAGTGTTAGGGGCATGATGACTCCTCAGAAAGATCTCTGGGATGCCATTGTGATTGGGGCAGGTATTCAAGGCTGCTTTACTGCTTACCACCTGGCCAAACACAGGAAGAGGGTCCTCCTGCTGGAGCAGGTACTGTGTCTCTTTTGCCTTTTCCCACCTTAATGACTGCCCTTCTGTCTTTCCCTAGGGAGGCTTTTTGCAGAACTATCAGGTTATCAAGGGAGGCCAAAATTTGGCAATTCGTAGTTTAGACACTTGGTGTGCTTCAGGACAGTTCAAAGTAAGTTCCACCCCCTCTCCCGCCTTCAAATTCTTTTTGTTGTTGTTGTTGTTGTTGGTCACAGGGTTTGAACTCTGGGTCTGGGCACTGTCCCTCAGCTCTTCAGCTCAAGGCTAACGCTCTACCACTTGAGCCACAGCCCCACTTCTGGTTTTCTGAGTGGATTTTTTATTTGGAGATAAGATCTCACGACTTTTCCTGTCCAGGCTGTCTTTGAACTGTGATCCTCAGATCTCAGCCTCCTGAGTAGCTAGGATTAAAGGTGTGAGCCACTGGCACCCGGCCGCCTTCAAATTCTTGTAGAGTTTCTAGGTGTATTTCCTTCTTTTGCTGTTTCTTAGTTACTCTCTTGAAGTATCCCAGGCCCTGTTCTCATCATTCTTGTTACCCTATCTCTTCTGTGCCCAAGTAGTTGATGCAGCCCACAAAAATAATCAGTTCTGCTCTAGGTAATTGTAAGTAATGATAATTTTGTCTGAGCACCAGTGGCACGTGATTTCAATCCTAGCTGTTCAGTTGGCTGAAGTCTCAGAATCATGGTTCAAAGCCAGCCTGGACAGGAAAGTTTGTGAGACTCTTATTTCCAAGTAATTACCAGAAAATCTGGAATGGAGTTATGGTTCATGTGGTAGAGTGCTAGCCTTGAGCAAAAAAAGGTCAGAAACAGTGCCCAGGCCCTGAGTTTAAGCCCCAGGATGGGCACAAAACAAATTTAAGAAAAGAAAGAGAGAAAGAAAGAAATAGAGAAAGGAAGAGAGAAAGGAAGAAAGAGAGAGAGAGGAAAAGACAATTTTGCCTAGAGGCAAAGGTTGATATATCAGTCTAAAAGTCTTTCCTGCATCTCCTCAACCTCTTCTCCCAGAACCCAACAGAAGCTTCTAGGTTTCTTTTTTTGTTTGTTTTTGTGTGTGCTTGTACAGGAGCTTGAACTCAGAGTCTGGGTGCTATCCTTTAGCTTTTTTACTCAAAGTGCATATTCTACCACTTGAGCCACAACCCCACTTTCAGCTTTTTGGTGGTTATTTAGGGATGAAAGTCTTCCTGACTTTCCTTTCTGGGCTGGATTAAAACCATAATTCTGAGATCTCAGCCTTCCGGGTAATTAGGATTATAAGCATGAGCCACTGGCACCCAGCAGCTTCCGTTTTAAAAGCCACCTTTGGGTAGCTCCTTATTTGATGCACTGGAAGTCAGACTTGGGTCTTGCTCTTCCTTAAAGAAAAGGCAATCTCATGAGGTTGCATCTACAGCCATTGCATATACTGGGGTCCAGTGTATCTGCAGAGTCCTTCAGAGCCCCTTTATAGAGGTTTCTACTTCAATAAGTTCTCCCTTTCTGTTCTGCCTATAGCTCTCCAGGCTGGCTATGGTTTGCCCTTGGTAATGAGTTGGAGTAGTTAGAAATTGTCTTCATTTCTTTCTCAGTTTGCACAAATCCCAAGAGATCCCCGGGGTTCATCCTGTCAGAAAACTCCATCTTTTGTTAAATCCCAAGGTAGTTCCTTTATCCTGAGTAATCTGAAGCCATAGAGGGAATAGTCAGCATTGTTTTCCTTGTCCATAAAATAAAGGGAATAGAATAATCTGGAAACTTCTAAGTCTGCTTTTCTATGAGTCTGTCAGGTGAGACTGTATCAGGATGATTGAAAACTAGCCAACAAAGGGATTTATGGAAGGGAGCAATGTTTGCCAAAAGGAAGCTTAGGTTAGTGCTGTGGAGAGCCTTCCATCATGATCACCAGCTCAGGAAATTGGCCATAAAGAAAGAATCTAGAGAGATAATATGCGTGAGAGATGAGGATACGTGGTTCCTGGTTGACGGCATATGGTGGCATGGCTCCTAAAGAGGAGTACACTGTATGGGGCAATAACTTCCATTATCTCTCTTGTTCTCCATTTTTAGTTCTTTCTACCACATTCCCGAGGAAGCTCCCATGGACAAAGCCGCATAATCCGGAAGGCATACGCTGAAGACTTCTATACACAGATGATGGATGAGTGCTATCAGTTGTGGGGCCAGCTGCAGCGCGAAGCTGGAACCCAACTGCACAGGTGGGCAAGGGAAGAATGCCTTGAATCAAGGAGGTCTACATCTAGAGGTGCTTTGAGTGTGTGGAGAGGCATAGTGTGAACACTTGGAATTCAATGGAAAGGGCCATAAGACCAAGATAGGTAGAGGCATTCTGTTCAATGTCATTATACCCTACAGGTACTGCTGGTTCCTGCCAGGCTCTGACTTCCAGGACTGGATTAGATGTTGTGTCCAAAGCTAGCAGAAGTTGTATTGGAAAAATCATTGGAGGGCTGGGAAGCTGGCTCAGTGGTAGAGCACTTGCCTTGCATGCCTGAGGCCCTGGGTTCGATTCCTCAGCACCACATAAGCAAAAAGAAAAAAGCCAGAAGTGGCGCTGTGGCTCAAGTGGTAGAATGCTAGCCTTGAGCTGAAGAGCTGAGGGACAGCACCCAGGCCCAGAGTTCAGGCCCCACGACCGGACCCCCCCACCAAAAAAAAAAAAAGAAAAATCATTGGAGAGATATTCAGAGCTAGTCAGGCCTGCATGAAGCCCTCTGAGTTTGAATCTCTATCCCTTTAGAGACCTCTTTTACGGCCTGGTTGCAATGAAAAAGATGATATTCTCTCTCTCTCTCTTTCTCTCTCTCCTCTCTCTTCCTTCTTTCCATTTTTTTTTTTTTTTTGTCATTTGTGGGGCTTGAACTCTGGGCCTGGGCACTGTCCCTCAGCTCTTCAGCTCAAGCCTAGTGCTCTACCACTTGGAACCACAGTGCCACTTCTAGGTTTCTGGTGGTTAATTAGAGATAAGAGTCTCCTGGATGTTCCTACCTGGGCTGGCTTTGAACTACGATCCTCAGATCTCAGCCTCCTGAGTAGCTAGGATTACAGGCATGAACTACCACCAGGATTACAGGCATGAACTACCACCAGTGCCCGGCCTTCCTTCCCTTTTTCTCACAGTACTAGGGATTAAACTCAGGACCTTTCTTGCCAGGCAAGTACTGTATCACTTGAGCCATTCCTCCTAGTCCTTTTGTCTTTAGTTTATTTTTCAGATAGGGTCTCATACTTTTGCCCAGGTCAGCCTCAGATAGAGATCTTTCTCCCTCTGCCTTTTGAGTACCTGTGATTATAAGCGTGTACCATCATACTTAGCTGGTTTCTCGGTCCTTTATATTCTTACTAGTATCACAATTTGTGTGTGTGTGTGTGTGTGTGTGTGTGTGTGTGTGTGTGTGTGTGTGTGTGTGTGTGTGTGTATGTGTGTGTGTATGCCAGTCCTGGGGCTTTCCCTGAGCTTTTTCACTCAAGGCTGGCACTCTACCATGTGAGCCACAGTTCCACTTCTGGCTTTTTGGTGGTTAATTGAAGAGTCTCACAGACTTTCCTCCCCAGGTTGGCTTCAAACCACAATACTGAGATCCCAGCCTCTTCCAAGTAGCTAGGATTACAGACATGAGCCACCAATACCCGGCTCAACTTTTTATTCTGGGTCTTCACCCATCAAACAAACCTCTAAATCCATTTCATCTTCTTTTAATACAATCTCCTAAGGGAACAAAATGGGGGTGCCCTTCAGGTTAGATTGCTTTCCAGGAATATGGCAAGCTATCTTCCTGTTCTATCTCCAATCCTTTGGATTCCTCAATCACTGACCTTTCAAACACTCATGGGGAAGGAAGCAGAAAACCTGTTATGCAATGTCATGCAATGTCAACCATAACTTGTCATGCAATGCCATGTGATGTCAGCTATAACCTGTCATGCAATGTCATGCAATGTCAGCCATAACCACCCCCCTCTCACCTTCTCTGCTACTCTTAACTGAACTTCCTTTACATAACCCTGGTTCTACCCTACAGGGTGGCAGTTATTTTAATGTCTGAGAACCAAGAGGTTATGGTTCTGCTGCAAAAACACTATTAACTTAAGGACAAAGTGAAATCCATTATGCAAATACAGCCAGGGCAGCTAATTAAGGATTTATTCAGATGGCAGCTAATGCACCTAACACCCAGATAAAGAAGTATGCCTTGATGAGGGGTGGCTTGGCAAAGGGTCCCTTCTCTGCAGCTGGCTGTGAATACTGCTGAGTGTCTTGTGCTAGGAGAAGTGCCCGAGGCTTCAGAGGCCACACTTACCAGTGGATGAGGCAACACACATATGCATAGAGATTACCTGGAGTCTTTCAGGAGGAGGAGGAGGAGGAGTGGAGGAGGAGGAGGAGGAGGAGGAGGAGGAGGAGGAGGAGGAGGAGGAGGGCAGGAAGAAACAAAAATTGTGGCAACTACAGATATCTCAGACATGACTGCACAAGAGAGGAAAGTTGAGAGATGGCACTTGGTAGGAGGTTCACATAATCTCACAGACCTCTTTGTCCAGAAGTCAAACAGTTGGAAGGACTTTGGAACAAGTCAGATATGGTCCAAAGTTCAACCCTAAGCACTTAGCTGTGGAGCTAGTAGCTTTAGTTGTTGTTGTTGTTGCTTGTGGGGCTTGAACTCAGGGCCTGGGGGCACTGTCCCTGAGCTTTTTCACTCAAGGCTAGTCCTTTACTACTTTGAGCCATGACTCCACTTCTAGTTTTCTGGTGGTTAATTGGAGATAAGAGTGTCACAGACTTTCCTGCCCAGGTTGGCTTCCAACTGTGATCCTCAGATCTCAGCCTCCTTGGTAGGATTATAGATGTGAGCCACCAGTACCCAGTTTAGCTGTGTAGTTTGGAGCAAGCTGTTTAACCTCTGGGAGGCAGTTTTCTCACTTGTAAAGTGGGGGTAATAACATCTATTTCGTGAACCTGTTGTGAAGATAAGTATGTAATGGTTTAAAACAGTACCTGGAAAATCACCACTTCCATCAATTTAGCTCTCACAATCAGAAACTAGGAGCTGTTCTGAGTACTTGATGCAGGTTGAACATTCCTAATCTGAAAATCTGAAACCCAAAATGCTCCAGTGAGCCCCCAGTGATTCTCTTGCCTTTGCTTCCTGACTTGCTGGGAGAGCTAGTGTCCATTCCCTGACCCCAGTGAATAAGGAAGGGTCGCAATGTATTAATGTAAATCCCCTAGACTTTTAGTCTAGAATACAGTCTGTAAACATTTTTCTGTAACTTTGCAACTTAGTATTTTAGACTTTGCTGGTCATATGGTCTCTGTTGCAGCTATTCAATCTGCCATTGTAGTGTGAAAGCAGTCACAAACAGGATGTAAATAAATGAACCTGGATGTGTTGCAATAAAATTTTATTTCTGGACACTGCGATTTGAAATTCCTTGTGTCTTGAGAAATGTTATTGTTCATTTATTTATTTGCTAGTCATGGGGCTTGAACTCAGGGCCTGGGCACTGTCCCTGAGCTTTTTTTGCTCAAGGCTAGCACTCTACCACTTGAGTCACAGTGCCATTTCTGGCTTTATCTGTGTATGTGGTACTGAGGAATCAAACCCAGGGTTTCATGCATGCTAGGCAAGCACTCTTCCACTAAGCCACATTCCAAGCCCTGTGATTTTTGATTTTTGAGTCAAGCAGTTAAAAAAAATTAAAATATCTTGGTGTTTAGATCAAATATAAACAAGCAAGAAGGTCAAATTTGGTCCCTGGATCACAGTTTGCTAGCTTCTAGTCTAGAAGATACTTCAAAACTGCTTATGCCTCTCATTTCCCTTTGACCAAACAAGCTCATATCTAAATCATCCCAGCTCAAAAGACTGATACTGTCCATTTAAAGATGGAAGTATCAGCTGGTTGTCAGTGGCTCATACCTGTGATCTTAGCTACTCAGGAGGCTAAGATCTAAGGATTAGGTGTTTTTTGTTTTTTGTTATTTCCGGTAGTAGGGCCTGAACTCTGGGCTTGGGTTCTATCTCTGACCTCTTTTGCTCTAGCCTAGTGCTCTACCACTTTGAGCCCTAGTTCCACTTCCAGTTTTCTGGTGGTTGATTGGAGATAGGGTCTCATGGACTTTCCTTAGAGCTCAGCCTCTGGAGTAGCTAGGATTATAGGCTTGAGCCACCAGTGCCCTACCTGGCTAGATTATGGGTTAAAGCCAGCCAGGGCAGACAATTCAGTTAGATTCTTATCACCAATTAACTAACAAGAAGCCAGAAGTGGAGCTGTGGCTTAAGTGATAGAGCATCAGTCCTGAGCAGAAAAGCTAAGGGATAGAGCCCAGACTCTGATTTCAAGCCCCAGCACCAGCACAAAAACAGAACAAATAAACAAAGAGAGGGAAATATAGCCTGTATTAAGACTATTCAGATGTCTCATAGCTCCAATTATGATGAATGAAGAATAATATGAATGTGCTTTAAAAACCCATAAAATGCTAAGAATTATAATTATTGTTATTATTCTATCATTAACAAGTCCTTTCTTGTTATGGCTACCTTAATTTACTTAGGCATGCTAAATTTCTTGGTTCTTTTACTGAGTAGGGACACAGAACTAATATTCCCCATTCTCAACATACACTCTACATTTGGACTAAATGCTATTCACATCCCTGTTACTTTTACTCTTCATTTTAATTTTCTAAAGGATTCATCATCTTTGTGGTTCTTACTACTCTCTAGATTCTTCTTGAAGTACCAGTACCATAGTGTAATGTAATTGATAGAAATTATCGTGCTTAATGCCATTTGATTAAAAAAGAAAAACAAAACCTTTAGGAGTTGTTAGTGAAGGTGATTGTCCAATTCTTTTTTATTTTGTTCTTCTGCTTCTTGTGACAGCGCATACTAAACATGCATGGACTCAGAATATTTGCATATGTTCTGGGAACAGACAATGACACATATGTCAGATCACAAGGTCTGAATCTTTGTGATGTGTACAGCCAGGATGCAGATACCAACAGCAAAGCCCAGCTCTGTGGCCCATCTTTTTCCTGCCCCGCCTTCTCCCTTTGAGTCCTACTATCCAGCTCCTGACCTGGGCTGCCCCTGCTTCGCTGACAATATCAGACAAGATCACAGCCGTAGGCAGTACAGCTGCTGGCAGAACCTGGTGGCCCCCTCCGCAGCTGCTGCTTCCTGTGTCTGCGAAGTGTCTGGCTTGTCAGCCACATCCCCTCCCTGGAGCAGTCTTTGTTAACCAATTCCACCTCGGCCCACTGAGCTGAAGATGAAACACACAGAGCTCTTCCAAAACCAACAAAGACAGCAGCCATTACCAAGTCCCTTTCCCAAGGTGACTCTCAGAGCTGCCTTGCCTGGCACTTTGAACCCAGCTAGGAGGAAGGAAGGAGACTGGAATGGGAGATGGCAGACTCAAGGAGAGCGTCTGCCCCTTCCAGGTCCTCCATGGTCCATCCTGTCCCCTGTCCCAAGCTAGTAACTGCTCAAAATCTCTGATCAATCACCAGTTCCTTTCATCATCTGGGTCATAGTGGAGTCAACAACAAGGCCCTTGGGAGGAATCTTTAATGACCTCCTCCAGCACCAGATCAAACTGAGGTTGGAAGGAAGGTATGCGTAGTTCATGCCAAATGATTGGTCTCACTGATGGGCATTCTGGAAGATGGGAGCTGTAACATTTCCAGGGTTCTCTGTCAACCCTGCCCTGGCTTCAGACCTCCCTTTCTAGGCCATCCCTGACCAGTCATTTCCTGGTTATCTTTTTACCTCTGTGGATAACTTTGTCTTTGTCAACTCTTCTCCTTCCCAAACTTTGTAACCTGTGTTTAATTAAAAAAAAAAAAAAAAAAAGATGAGGGGGAGGCCTGGTGCACAGAGGTGAGAAATTGATGCAGAATGAGCAGTCTATTTATTGGGATCTAGGAAAAGCTATTAAGAAAATAAGCACTTAAATGATTTTCAATCTGCCCATGGAAGTCATCTATCTTCATACTAAGGGGAAAAGGCTGGTTCTCGAATCCTGGTTTTGATTGACTGATTTCCAATTCTCTGAGCATTTCCCACAGGAGCCTCTCACCTATCTGCCATAATGACAGGCCTTTGCATTTCCAGGCAGTGTTTTACATTTATTTCCGATTTGCTCATAATGGTCAAAAATCTCTTTCCGATCCAAGGCATTTCTCCAGCAGTGCTCGGTTTCCCTCAGGCCAAATAGCTCAGCTGTGATCCACGGAAAATGAGAATTTCCCAAACTTGTCTTTGGACTAGGGGAGGGTCCGGCATCACAAATTCAGATGGAAAATTTCCCACTGTTAGATCAATATCTGGGCTAAGAAATAAATGCCACAGGGGCAGAGAGCTGGAGCAAAATGATTACAATCGGCACAATTACATTCACCGGCAGAATCAGCTCACTGATTACTCCTAGGGTTGGGGAGCTCCCGCTACATCCACCGCAGGACAGCTTGGGAATTAGAACATCACTCAGCATTTCATAATTCGACAGATTTTCCCATTGTCTTGGCATGAGTTCATTTTCCCCATCTAGTGTGTCCCTGTAAGAAGAGTTCTTGTGTTAAGGAAAGGAAGAAAGAAGATGGGAAGAAGGAAGGTAGGAGGGAAGGAAGGGTAGAATAAAGGGGAAAGAAATCCTACAGAATAGCAGAGACCAGAGGTACTATCTTGCAGGCAGAGGTTAGAATGATGCTGTGGCGTTTCTGGGCCAGAAGTCTAACATTGGGTCTATTTAGGTGAGTTGTAAACAGGTCTACCCCAGAATCTTACTAGCCCGGACACTCTAGAGTTAAAAAATGGAAGTGGAAGCTGGGTACTAGTGGCTCATATCTATAATTCTAACTACTCTGGAGGCTGAGGATCTGAGGATCATGGTTCCAAGCCAGCTTGGGTGGGAAAGTCTTGCGGGACTCTTATCACCAATTAATACCCCCTGGCTCCTCCCCACAAGAGCTGGAAGTGGAGCCATGGCTCAAGTGGTAGAGAGCTAGCCTTGAACCAGGACTGGAACACAAAAAAATGTGATACATATGTGTAAGAGAAGAAGAAGGATCAAGGACATATTCCAGAGGCTGCAGGTATACCTCAGTGGTAAACATGCCTAGCATGGTTAAGTCTCGGTTCAATTCTCAGCAACACACACACACACACACAGAGCTAAATCAAAAATTTGAAAAATCACCTGGGTAACTTAAGCATACAAGGCAAGGGTCCACTACTGAGCTACACCCTCAAACCGCTCCCCCCTCTCCCCCCCCCCCCCCCCCCCCCCCGCCCAGGTGGCTTCTAAATTATCTTGTTGACCATGACATTTACTAGGCAAATTTCTATGACTTGAGAACCAATTTGAAGTCCTATTGGGGGCCTCAGAAAAAAAAAAAAAAAGAGTATCTCCTGGCTGGAGTATTCTGCAGCGTCTCTCCTCTGCTGAGCTTTGAAGAGGCAGAGCTGGCATTGCTATCTCACCAGTGGTGAATGCTGGGTAGGCGGGGGCCGTGGCAAATGGATTGGGCACGCTGCGCAGCTCTGTGTACTGACACCGGCCCCCAGGCCTGCTGTGTCCCTACCCCCTCCCAATCTTCTCTTTAATCCCCCAACCAGATAATGTGGGATTTGGAAGCATGTAATATCCATGAGACTCCATTATAGGCTATTACGAGCTTTATTCACATATCTGGGGGTGATGCACCAGGCTGCAGCTGGCCAGTACAGATCCATAGGAATGGTCCCACAGATCAGAAGGACCTTTCTACTGTTTAGACAGTTCCCTCCCCAAAGGGGACTTTGGTCTCTTGTGACAGAGAAGCAAGAAACTGCTTTCACTCCTTTATGGAGTAGGATGGATGGAGGCACAAGGAGGAACAAATTAGAGAATCACTGAATTTATCACTGGAGTCTTAAGACCACCTACTGGTATTTGTGCTTGTGATGAAAGTGCTGTTGCATTATGGGTGGGATGATCTTGAGCGCTGCCAAGTGTGGCATTCCTGACCCTTGCCAAATCAACTTGAGTGGTAGCCCGAGACATTGTGACAACTACACAAATAGTGCATACCACTTCTATTTGTCCCTAGGCAGCTTGGGAGATACCATCCAGATGTGGAAGCACTAGTAGTTCAACAGGCACGTGTTCTGGAGGAGGAATTTGGGTCCTGAGAAGTGAGTCAGAGATCAAGGTCACACCAAGGTGATCTCAGGAGGAGAAGCACAGTCAGAGCTCCCAATTAGGATCCTTTCCACAGAGCAAGCAACCTCTGGGCATGAACTGAGAGACAAACAGTCACACACAAGGATATATATAACAAGGCAAAGGGAAAAGGAGCGGGAACAAACAGCAGGATGGTAGAATACAGAATAGAAGGGTCAATTCAACCAATGGATTGGGAGATAGTAGGAAAAGGAAAGAATCAAATAGATTCTAAACTTACTACTGTTGGGTGCTGGTGGCTCATGCCTATAATCCTAGCTACTCGAGGCTGAGATCTGAGGATTGAGGTTTAAAGCCAGCCCAGGTAAGAAAGTCTGTGAGACTCTTTTCTACAATAAACTACCAGAAAAGCCAGAAGTGGAGATGTGGCTCAATTGGTAGAGTGCTAGCCTTGAGACAGAAGCTCAGGAAAAGCACCTAAACCTTGAGTTTAAGCCCCAGAACAGGCACTCATACACACACACACACACACACACACACACACACACACACACACAAACACACACACAGAAAAGATGTGGAAAATGAAAGAGGGTTTAGGATCTCTGTGGTCAAGGGTAGGATGGAGGGACAAAACAATAGTAAGCATGTTAAGGGTGAACTCAGCAATGGGCTGGAAAAAAGCTGCATACCTAGACACATTTTCTGAATGCAAGACCTGATACCCTTGACCTGGGACCTTGATAAAGAATGAAAGCAGATGGTAGGACCCTGATACATGCCTTTATTCAAATGGCTCTTTTTTTTTTTTTTTTTTAAACAGGCCAGCTGAACTCCTGTTTCTGGGAATGAAGGAGAATCCAGAAATAAAGGCATTCCAAGACACTCTGACTAGGCATGGGATAGAACACCAGTATCTTTCATCTGAGGAGTTAAAGCAACATTTCCCCAACATTCGACTCACCAGGGGAGAAGTGGGGCTTGTGGATAAGACAGGAGGTATCCTCTATGCAGACAAAGCCCTGAGAGTCCTTCAGGTAACACTGACACAGCAGCACTGGGCCATATAATACCTGCTCCAGGAATCCTGGAGCCTGATTAGCCAGTCACAGTTTTTTTTATTTGTTTGTTTTGTGGTTGTGGGGCTTGGATTTGTGATCTGGGTGCTGTCCCTGAGCTCATTTGTTCAAGGCTAGTACTCTACCACTTTGAGCCACAGTGCCACTTCCAGTTTTCTGGTGGTTAATTGGACTTTCCAGCCCTGGCTGGCTGGCTTCAAACTACGAACCTCAGATCTCAGTCTCCTGATTAGCTAGGATTATAAGCGTGAGCCACAGATGCCCAGCTTCAGCCACAGCTTATTTTTTGGGCTGGGGATCTTTGTCCTGTCGGCTTTGGGATTGTCCATTGTGTCAGGGCACTTTTATATTCCCTGAATGGCCTTGTCAAATAGTGGGGTATGGGAAGAAGGTCTAGATTCTGCACTCTCTTGTCTACCTTAAGTGAAAGGCTTTGTCCGAAAGGGCTAAGTACATACATAACCAATTTACCTTTCTGTGATCTTTCCTGTCAGAATGCAATTCGCCAGCTAGGAGGCACAATGTGTGATGGAGAGAAAGTGGTGGAGATAAGACCAGGGCAACCAGCTGCGGTGAAAACTACCTCTAAGAGCTACCAGGCCAAGAGCTTGATCATCACAGCAGGTCCTTGGACCAAGGACCTCCTCAGTCCTCTGGGAATTGAGTTACCTCTCCAGGTAAGGGCAAGCTGGAGACCTAAGAGTCAATACTTAAGAGAAGCCTTGAAAGCAAATGGACCTTGACTTTGAATCCTGTATCTACCTCTTATTAGTGGATGACCTTGGGCAAATTAGTTCACCTCCTTGAGCCTCAGTTTTTATCAATATGAAGAGTAATAGCTACCTCAAAAGGCTGTTGGAGAATTAAAGGCTGTTGGAGAATTAAATTATACAGTGTGTATAGCCCTTAGGAGACAACCTGGATTACAGTGAGCACTGAATAAATACAAGGTATTATCAACTTCTGAAAAGAGAGGGAAGTAGGACTGGGGTGCAGTTATGCGAGAAAAGTAAGGCAGAAGAGACAGAGGTTTGGGGATCTTTGTACATCAGATAGAAAAGTAAGAGTGGGAGAAGAGACAGAGGTTTGGAGATCTTTGTACAGCTTTGTACATCTGGGGTCTCTTCTCTCACTCTTACTTTTTTCACATAACTGCACCCCAGTGCTACTTCCCTCTCTTTTCAGAAGTTGATAATACCTCATATTTATTCAGTGCTCACTGTAAGTACCATGAGAACTGAATAAAATGAAGATGGATGTATGAAAGGGTTGCAGCACTCCAACAGACCTCATTGTCGACAGAGTTCCATGGTTTCATTTCTTTTTTCTTTTTCTTTTTGGTAGACCATGGGCTGAACTTGGGGCCTGGGAGCTGTCCCTGTGCTCTTCAGCTCAAGGAGAGTGCTCTACCACTTGAGCCACAGCGCCACTTCCAGTTTTCTGGAGATAAGAGTCTCACAGACTTACCTGCCCGGGCTGGCTTTAAACCGCGATCCTCAGAGCTCAGCCTCCTGAGTAGCTAGGATTACAGGTGTAAGCCACTGGAGCCCAGCTTCCTGAACTCTTTTCCTCAAGGATAACTCTATACCACTTTGAGGCCCAGCTCTTCTTCTGGTTTTCTGGTGGCTCATTGGAGATAAGAGTCTCATGAGGGCTGGGAAGGTGGTTCAGTGGTAGAGCGCTTGCCTTGCATGCCTAGGCCCTGGGTTCAATTCCTCAGCACCACATAAGCAGGAAAAAAAAGCTGGAAGTGGCGCTGTGGCTCAAGTGGTAGAGCTCTAGCCTTGAGGTAAAGAGCTGAGGAACAGTGCCCAGGCCCAGAGTTCAGGCCTACGACCGGATCCGCCCCTAGCCTCCCCCCCCCCCCAAAAAAAAAAGAGTCTCATGAACTTTCCTGCCTGGACTGGCTTTGAATCATGATCCTCAGATCTCAGCCTCCTGAGTAGCTAGGATTATAGGCGTGACTACCAGCACCTGGCTTTGTTTCACTCCTTTATTCTCCATTTCCTCTTGTACCTAAAGGTCTTGCGGATCAACGTGTGTTACTGGAAAGAGAAGGTTCCTGGGAGCTACAGTGTGTCCCAGGCATTTCCATGCTTCCTGGGCTTGGACGTGGCTCCCCATCATGTCTACGGGATCCCTTCAGGGGAGTACCCAGGGCTGATGAAGGTGAGTGGGAAGGCCAAGAAGGCTACTAGATACCCATGGTGTAGCTGCTCTATCTTGCTGCTCCTAGACATTACCAGAATTCCCCTCTCTCAACAGGAGCCTGCTTCACTCTTTCTATTGCTTTGAGCTGTTTGAGGCGCAGTCAAGGGTGCTTTTCTTTTGTTAACACAGGGTGGGTACAGGGCTCCAGTAGGAAACTCCAAGTGACCATAAACAGTGTCCTTTGGGACTGGGGAAGGCTGTGATGATGGATAGAGACACCCCTGGGTCCTAGCCTGTCCTTCTTTGGTGGGTGTGCATGGAAGGCCAGTGTTCCTGCTCACACTGCTTTGATGGGGACTAGGTCTGCTATCATCATGGAAACAATGTGGCCCCTGATGAGCGGGACTGCCCTACTGCCTTCTCAGACATCCCAGACATCCAGATCCTGAGGCAGTTTGTCAGAGACTACTTACCTGACCTGAACCCTGAGCCAGACATCATGGAGCGTTGTATGTACACGGTAAGAGAACTGGGCTGGCGCGAGAGAGCAGGGGCAGGAGACAGACAGACCTTAACCCTTGACACTGTACGTGACTTTCAACAAGCTCACTTATTCCTGCGGATTGGTTTATCTCTACATAAGGGGGCCCATTAGAATTTTTTTCATATTCCTTTTCATTAGGCAACTAGGCTTATGCCTGGCAGTCCCTCACTATATTTCCCAGAAGAGCTCTAAAAGATTTTTTGGCAAGATGCTCCAGTTGAGCAGGCCTTGGGGACAAAGAGAAGAGACAGATGTCACCAGGGCCTGAGGCATCTTGGCTAAAGGTAGTTTATATAATGAACTGAGCACCTACTGTGTTCTTAGCTCAGTTAAGAGGAGAGAGACAGATGGACAAATGAGAAAGGCTGCACAAGCGGAGGGGGTACTGGCATGCAGGAAGCATGCTGGGGCTTCATTCTATCAGTTTTGGAAAGTAATCCAGTCCCCTCCCTCCCATTAAAATCTATAGTTCCTCTTGTTCTTTGTCCTCAAAAGAGACAGGTGTAACTGTTTCTTTCTAGAACACTCCTGACAAGCATTTCATTCTTGATCGCCACCCAAAGTATGACAACATTGTTATTGGCGCTGGATTCTCTGGTAAGCCCTCAGAGGGGGAGGTGGGGTGTCCTCAATCTAACCTACCTCAGTACCAGGCCAACAAAAAGGCCCTTTGCATATGCCTAGTTGATCCAGCCAGTGCTTAAGGCGGGATAGTCAGAGAAGGAGTATTTATGGTGGGAGGCAATTTCTGGGTTTTGTATCTGAAAGGGTAAGGCAGTCCTGCCTGGGTAATTAGACAACTTCCAGAAAGCTTAGTCTCTCTGTCCCTGAGGCGATGTGACAAGCTACTATCCTTCCTTTCCAGGGCATGGATTTAAGCTGGCCCCTGTGGTGGGGAAGATCTTATATGAACTAAGCATGAAGTTAACGCCATCCTATGACTTGACACCTTTTCGAATCAGTCGCTTCTCTGGCCTGGACAAAGCTCACCTTTGACCCCTGACCAGTAGTCCTCAGAAGCCTCTGAGGAAAACTCAGATGAAGGAAGTGACCCTGAGAGGTCTCCTTTTTCCCCCTAACTTTTCTTGAATCTTCTCTAAACACTAAATGAATTGACTTTTCTTTTTTTTCCCTCCCACATCCCCAATTTCAACACCTTTCTTGTTCCCAGAATATCGATCAGACATTCATCATCACAGAGTAGCAGGGACCTTTGAAAGCGATGAGGCAGTACAGTGTGTGTGTGTGTGCGTGTGTGTGTGTGTGTGTGTGTGTGCGTGTGTGTGTGTGTGTGTGTGTGTGTGTGCGTGTGTGTGTGTGTGTGTGTGTGTGTGTGTGTGTGTGTGTGTGTGTGTGTGTGTGTGTGTGTGGCGGGGGTACCAGGACTGGCTCAGGAAACCAAAGCACTTGCTAAAATTCCCTTCACTGGTGACATTTGATGAACTTGGGATGGATTTGATTAAAGCTGACCAGGGGAGACTAAAAAACTTGACCTCTTACAAATCACTTAGGCTCTTGTAGTTTCTTTACCTAAAATTAGAAGCATCCTCCATCATCAACTCCTATAAAATCTTAGCCGCACCATAAATGTTTGTTGGAAAAGATTTGTTGAATAAACAAATAACTGCACAGCATAAAGTGCCTGTGATAGGCTTTTTTTTTTCCATGTGACCTTATTTCTTACAGGCTCTAATTATCTCAATTATCACCACAGAATCTGTTACCCCAGGAATCCGTAGAGTCTTGATCCTCTTGATGCACTGCAACCTTCTCCTCTGATTCTTTGTCTCGTCCTCATCTTTTCTCTGGATCTGTAAAGATGCTCAGCTCCCCAGTCTCTCATTAAGGTGTATTGTCAGGTCCTTATGAAGATGGAACTGTTATACCAGAAAGAAAGAGAGAGACACACTCGCTTAGAAACCCTGTTCAATGTTTGAATGTTAAATGTGCCATTTTATTATCATTAGGATTGCTCCCACTTAATGAAACAGCATTAGCACCGAGTCGGCTGGTCTCCTTGCACTAATTGCTTTGGATGAGAACAGGCTCATAACTACCCCAAGGTGGGTGGAGGGTGAAGGGTGTAAACAGGGATTCAGCCAAGGCTGATGCATATGATACCAAGGAGGGGCCCTATAGATTGGGCCAGTTTCATCTAAGGGAAGAGGATTTTAAATTCTCTGGGGAAAGAAAAGCTGGGACTAGATGGGGTGGATGTAAAGAGGAGTCACTGACTGGGGAAGAATGGGCAGTGGGAATGAGAGTCAAACTGGTCCCAAAGAAAAGACAACACAGAGGAAATGACTGTTCTTTTGTTGTTGTGCCAGTCCTAGGATTTGAACTCAGGGCCTGGGTACTATTCCTGGGATTTTTTTTTTTCCTCAAGGCTAGTGCTCTACCACTGGGGCCACAACTCCATTTTTGGCTTTTTTTGGATAGTTAATTGGAGAATAGAGACTCATGGACCTTCATTTTGGGGCTGACTTTGAACCAGGATCCTCAGTTTTCAGCCTCCTAAGTGCTAGAATTATAGGAGTAAGACACCAATGCCTGGCTAGGAAATTACTCTTGATTTTCTTCAGTCTTTTAAGGCCTAGGCACATGAATCAATACCAGTTTCTCAGTGAGTTATAAAAGCCAAGCCGATAAGCCAATTCTGTTGACTCTATGCCAAGCCTACTGATCTCAGACAGTGCCTTGAACCTCTATGAAATGGAAATAACACTGATTAACAGGCATGTATGAGTATCAAATAAGACAACTCATTCATTCTTTTTTTTTTTTTGTACTGGTCCTGGGGCTTGAACTCAGGGCCTGGGTACTGTCCCTGAGCTTTTGTGCTCACTGGTGCTCTGCCACTTGAGCCACAGCTCTACTTTTGGCTCTTTAGTGGTTAATTGGAGATAAGAGCCTCTTGGTCTTTTCTTTCTAGGGCTGGTTTTGAACTGCGATCCTCATATCTCAGCCTCCTGAGTAACTAGGATTAAAGGCTTGAGCCATGGTACCAGCCATTCATTCATTTATAAACATTTGGCCTCTACTATGTGCTAGGCACTATAGAGGTAGCAACAAACAAAACAGACAAAAATCCTTAATCTAATTCTACTTCTAGGTGCCAGGCATGGTGGCTCAAGCCTGTAATCTTAACTACTTGGAAAGTGGAGATTTAGATAGTGGAGATTGGAGGATTATGGTTTGAAGCCAGCCCAAGCTCCCTTCCTCCCTCCCCCGCCTCCCCTGCCCCCGCCCCCCCCCCCCACACACAAATGTTCACAAGACTACAAGATTAGCTATAGAAGAAGTACAAAAAGGAGGCTCTTAGTTCAGGCCTGTTTGGGTATAAAGACAAACCCTGTCTCAAAAAATAAGGGACCACCAGAAGCCAGTGACCTGTAATCTTAGCTACTTGAGAGGCTGAGATCTGAGGATCACAGTACAAAGACAGCTCCGGAAGAAAAATCCATGTGATGCTTACCTTCAATTAACCCACCTAAAACCCAGAAGTAAAACTGTGGCTCATGTGGCAGAGCACTAACCTTGGGCACAAAAACTCAGGGACAGGAAGTGGGGCTGTGGCTCAAGTGGTAGAGCGCTAGCCTTGAGCTGAAGAGCTCAGGGACAGCGCCCAGACCCAGAGTTCAAACCCCACGACCGACAAGAAACAAACAAACAAGCTCAGGGACATCTCCTAGGCCCTGAGTTCAAGCCCCAGGACTGGTAGCAGAAAAATGAACCAACAAAACAAAGGGCTGGGGGCTGGGAAGATGGCTCAGTGGTAGAGTGCTTGCCTTGCATGCATGAGGCCCAGGGTTCAATTCCTCAGCACCACATAAGCAGAAAAACCCGGAAGTGGCGCTGGGGCTCATGTGGTAGAACACTAGCTTTAAGCTGAAGAGCTGAGGGACAGTACCCAGGCTGAGTTCAGGCCCCATGACTGACAAAAAAAACAAAACTAAACAAAACAAAGGGCTGGCAGAGTGGGTCAAGAGTTCCAGTGCCTACATGTCTAGCAACTATGAGGCCCTGTTTTAAACCCCAGTTCTGAAAAAAGAAATAAAAGTAGAGTCTTTAAAATATATCTATTTTCTGAACTTATAGGCCCAGGCAGGAACTTCCTGAACAGAATCCCAGGGTCACAACAAACTGGAGAGAAACTCAACAAATAGGACTACCTTAAAATAAAAAGTTTCTGCACAGCTAAAGACATAGCAACCAAACTAGAAAGACAGCCAACTAATTGGAAAAAATATTTACCAGCAAAATACTAGACAAGGGCTTAATATCCAATATTTACAGGGAACTCAAGAAACTAATCCCTCCCAAACCTAACAAACCAATTACTAAATGGGCAAGGGAACTGAAGAGAGACTTCTCAGAAGAAGAGATAAAAATGGCAAAGACACACATGAGGAAATGTTCACCATCCCTAGCTGTAAAGGAAATGCAAATAAAAAGAACCCTGAGATACCTACCACCTTACCCCAGTCAGAATGGCTCACATCCTAAATTCAGCCAATGACAAATGCTAGAAGGGATATGGAGAAAGAGGATCCCTATTGCACTGCTGGTGGGAATGTATACTAATACAATCACTTTGGAAAGCAGTCTGGAGTCTGGAGGTACCTCAGAAAGCTAAATATAGATCTCCCCTACACCCCAGCTATACCACTCCTAGGCATCTACCCTGAACAACAGGAACCAGTATACAAGGACACATGCACCTGTCTATCCTGAGCAACAGGAACCAGGATACAAGGACACATGCATCTCCATGTTCATTGCAGCACTGTTTACAATAGCCAAGATATGGAAACAACCCAGATGCCCCACCACAGATGAATGGATCCAAAAATTGTGGTGTCTATACACAATGGAATATTATGTAGCCATTAGAAAGGACAAAATAATGGCATTTGCAGGAAAATGGATGGAACTAGAAAAAAATCATGTTGAGTGAGGTAAGCCAAGAGTAAAAAGACAAACGGCACATGGTCTCCCTGATATGTGGATGTTAAATCCAAAATGTAAGGAGATGCGACAAAGTAAACAAGACTGGAGAAATAAAGGACCTCCACCCATCTTGTCGTATCATTACTAAATGACCCCATGCTGCTGATCACATATATGGCATATAGGCACACATCTGAGGGAAACTAGGAGGACACAGAAACAGAGGGAAACAAGGGGAAACATACAACAGCGGGACACATCAGCTGCACTGGACATTGATGAAAACGAACTAAGCAACTCAAGGACAGCAAGGGGAGGGAGGGAATGAGAGGGAAAGAGGGAACAGCTGACACTAAGCAAAAGGAAAGAAATGTACATATCACCCGATGTGGAAGAAATCGCTGTATTGTGAAAGCTCGTAGAATTCACAGACTTTATAGACCACAATAATGACAATTGCCTCATGAAATTTAGAATGTTTTGTGATTTTTTAACTAAGTATCACTATCTCACAATACTATGAAATTTGTGTAATTTATGTAATCACTTAATCACAATAAAAAATTAAAAAAAAATCTATCTTCCTATATTTACAGCAACATTATTCACAACAGCCTAAAGGTAGAAACAACCCAGGTATCCTCTGATAGATGACTGGATAAACAAAATGTAGTATGCACATACCATGGAATATTATTCAGCCTTAAAAAGAATGATAGCCTGATACTTGGTACAACACAGATAACATGCTAATAGTACATACTAAGTGAAATTAGCCAGACATGAAAGGACCCATCTTATACAATTCTACTTTTAAGGGTCCAGTAGTCAATTTCGTTGAAATGAAGAATGAATCATTGTTGTCAGGAGCTGAGAGGAAGAAAAGGGTAATTGTTTGTGGGTATAGAGCTTCCATTTTGCAAGATGGAGCATCTGGAGATTAGTTACATAACAGTGTGGATGTACTCAATGCCACTGAACTGTACACCTAAAAATGGCTAAGTTGGTAAATTTTATTTTACATATATTCTACCACAATTAAAAAAATTCCTTTTCTGCTACATGCTGTGGCTCATCCCTGTAATCATGGCTACTTAAGAGGTTGAAATCTGAAGGTCTCAGTTCAAGGTCAGCCAGGACAGGAAAGTCCATGAAACTCATTACCAATTAACCACCAAGAAGCCAGAAGTAAAGCAAGGGCTCAGTGGTCGAGTGCTAACCTTGAACAAAAAAGTTCAGGGACAAGTGCCCAGGTCCTGAGTTCAAAATACAGTATTGGCAGAAAAAAG